CGCCCGTCCACTGCCCACCAGCACGATTTCTGTTTGTCAACGTGGAAACGATTTCCGTCTGGCTTTGCTGATTCTCTGAACAGCGTGAATCTGATCTGATTAAAAAGTGCAGCCTTTGGATTTACCCACATACCCCTGGGGGAGGTTGTGTTTTTCATCTTAGGTTCTTGCTCTGTGCAGGGGGGGCGGGGGTGTTTCCATAATCACGCTCTGATTTACGGTGTGCTTCTTCACCCCTGTCGCACATATAGGATCCATGTATTTGTCTCACTGCGTTACAGTCTAAACAAGGCGGCTGGCATCTTGCTCGGGCCTACAAGGCTCTCGATTTGCACACGTCTGCCCCAAAACGGTCTCGATGCACAAGTCGGACCTGGACACGTCAAACCCATCTTCCAAAACGCAGCTTCACAAACATCTTAGGAAGAAGTTCTAGCCATTCGGGTCTTCAGCTGATCCAAAATGCTGCTGCCAGAGTTCTGATGAGAGTTACCAAAGATCAGGTTTCTCCAGTTTTGTTTTGTTTTCCTCTCCATTGCGTCACCTGTAAAATTACGATCTTTATAACCAAGGTTCATCTTACGTTACAGTATTGCTCTTTTTTCTTTCTATTTCCCAACAGAGCACTTTGCTCAGACTGCAGGTTTACTTGTGGTTCCTAGAGTTTCTAAAAGCAAAACAGGCTTTCAGTTATCAGACTCCTCCCTTGTGGAACCAACTTCCAGTTTCTGTCCGTGAGGCACATTGTGCACTTTAAGACTAGGATTAAGACTTTGATAAATCCTATAGTTAGGTTTGGATTGGGTTTCCTGAGGTATCCCTTAGTTGTGCTGCTAAAGGCTTAGACTGCTGGAGGACACATCTCCTGACTCTGCTGCTGTCTTTACTCACTCTAGTCTGCATGTTTGTAATTATTTTCATCATTAACACGATTTTCTTTGTCTTCCTCCCCATAGAAACCACTTCCTCTCTAACCCGAACCAGTCGAGGCAGATGGCCGCTCATCCTGAGCACGGTTCTGGTTCTGCTGTAGGTTTCTTCCTGCTTTTTGTCGTCTCGTTCCTCCTCCTTCTTTAGATGTCCCAGATATATAACATCATGTGGAGAAATACTTCCTGATGTAACGGTGGTTCAAACTTGGAGTAGCACGTTTTAGCCCCTTTAAGTTGAGTTTAAATTATTATTTCACAATTCTGAATACTTTCATCTTTATTCCTTTGAATCTGAGCATCTGTTGGATGGCAGGAACGAGGCGGTGACACCTTTAAGTCTTTAAAAGGCAGCTAGGAGCATTTGTATGTCAGGACTGTACGTCTGAAGTCAAACAAATAAATAATGTCCTCCAGTTTAGATACTTCAAGCCTCTAAATACCGTTTTGCTCATTTTAGCCACAGGTTTCTTTATTTTACCTACCGTTGCATTCATTTCAGCATTTGTTTTTCATACTTTCAGCATCTGTTTTGAACATTTTGCATTAGTTTTTCCCGAACTTATCGTGACCTTTGCTAATTTTAGCTACTATTATAATAATTTTAGCATCCGTTTTGCTAACGTCAATGCCTTTAACAATGTTTTGCAAAGGTTCTATATGCTGATTTAAATTAATGTATAAAATTATTATGTCTTTGTCTAATTTTGACTACTTCATTAATTATGTAAATTATTTTACTAACTTTAGCAACTGTTTTACTGATTTTAGTGTCGGTTTTGCTAACTTTAGATACTGTTGTACTCATTTTAATATTTGATTGGCTAACTTTAGCTGATGTTTTACTCATTTTAGCATCCGTTTTGCTAATTTAGGTACTGTTTAACTAATTTTGGTATTACAAAATTTAGCTACAGTTTTATTCATTTTAGCATCAGTATAGCTAACTTTAGCTACTGTTTTACAAATTTTAGTATTATTTTGCTAACTTTAGCTACTGTTTTACGATTTTTGAAATTGCTTTGCTAATCTACTGTTTAACTCATTTTAGCATCCGTTTTTTAACTATAGTTAGTTTTATTAATTTCAGCATCTGCTTTGCTAATTTTAACTGTTGTACATATTTTAGCATGTTTTACTAACTTCAGTTAGGTTTTATTCATTTCAGCATTTGGTTTTGCTAACTTTAGCTGCTGTTGTACTTATTTTACATCTGTTTAGCTAACTTTAGCTGTGTTTTACTTATTTTAGCATCTGTTTTGGTAACTATAGCTGCTGTTGTACTTATTTTAGCATCTGTTTTGGTAACTATAGCTGCTGTTGTACTTATTTTAGTGTCTGTTTGGCTAACTTTAGCTGCTTTTGTACTTACTTTAGCATCTGTTTTGGTAACTTTAGATGCTTTTATACTTATTTTACATCTGTTTAGCTAAATTTAGCTGCTTTTGTACTTATTTTACACCTGTTTAGCTAACTTTAGCTGGTGTTTTATTTTAGTGTCTGTTTGGCTAACTTTAGCTGCTTTTGTACTTACTTTAGCATCTGTTTTGGTAACTTTAGATGCTTTTATACTTATTTTACATCTGTTTAGCTAAATTTAGCTGCTTTTGTACTTATTTTACACCTGTTTAGCTAACTTTAGCTGGTGTTTTATTTTAGCATCCGTCTGGCTAACTTTAGCTGCTTTTGTACTTATTTTAGCATCCGTTTTGGTAACTATAGATGCTGTTGTACTTATTTTAGCATCTGTTGTGGTAACTATAGCTGCTGTTGTACTTATTTTAGTGTCTGTTTGGCTAACTTTAGCTGCTTTTGTACTTATTTTAGCATCCGTTTTGGTAACTATAGATGCTGTTGTACTTATTTTAGCATCTGTTTGGCTAACTTTAAAGTTTTATTCACTTTAGCATCCATCCATCCATCCATCCATTTTCTTTACCCGCTTGTTCCATTTTGGGTCACGGGGGTCGCTGGTGCCCATGTCCAACAATCACTGTGCGAGGGGCGGGGTACACCCTGGACGGGTCGCAAGTCCATCACAGGGCCACATAGAGACAAACGAGACAAACAACCATTCACTCTCTCACTCACACCTAGGGACAATTTAGAGTTACCAATCAGCCTAACATGCATGTTTTTGGTCTGTGGGAGGAAACCGGAGTACCCGGAGAAAACCCACGCATGCACGGAGAGAACATGCAAACTCCACCCAGAAGGGCCCCTGGACCGGGGTTTGAACCAGGGACCTGCTCGCTGAGAGGCAGCAGCTCTACCAGTTGCGCCACCGTGCTGCCCTCATTTTAGCATCAGTTTTGCTAATTTTAGCTGCTGTTGTACTCATTTTAGCATCTGTTTAGCTGTTTTTGCATCCGTTTTGCTACTTTTACCATATGTTTTGCTAATTTTGATGCTGTAATAATCAACTGATTAGCATCTGTTATGCTTATTGTAGTTACTGTTTTATTTTAGGACTATGTTTTAATAATTTAAGCTCCTGTTCAGCCTTTTTTAACTTCAACGATTCAGTTTAAGCTTCTTCTACAAATTTCAGTGAAAACTGTCAACACTCAGCATTAAAACAACTTATTTCTGGTTTTCTTTTATCGACCCAATCAGTTATTTGTTCATTTCAAGAGAACGTCTCAGTTTTATTTGAGAAATGTCGACAAGTGGGCCGAGGAGGCCTTTAAAACACAGAAAACAATATTTTTCTATTCCAGACCATCAAAACAAACCGTTTTATCTGCCTGATGATGACAACTCCAGCTTTGAGATGAAGAGCTTTTCTCTTCTTCACCACACGAGGACGCCATGTTGGATATTATACAGGATGAGCTGAAGATCTGAGACACTTCAGCTACTTAGAGACAAACTGAAACACAAAGTAGTTCCACAACATGATTAGTACATTTGTTGTTGTTCTCAATCAGCTGACTTATTGTTGGTTGATTGAGACACATTTGAGGAGCTGTAAACAAAATTGTTCAAATAAAAAAAGGTAAAAACTAAGTGATTAGTAAAAAATGATTTAGGTTGAGTTTTGTTTTCTTCCCACAGCAGCCACCTTTAGTGTTGTTTGCTCATAAATAATAACATTTATAAAATATTCACCTTCACAACTCAGAAACACAACGTTAATTTTTTTGTTTTGTTGAGGAAATAAGAGCCGAGGTCATCAACAAAATTCATTCAGGGGAAAGAATTTTTCTTACGGGACAGTTTTTCATGTAAATTTAAAAGTGAATAAAGATGAGCCTCTTTTTTTAACTTTACTAAAAAAATTAAAAAGTGAAAAACGTTTGTAGTGAACAAGATGATAAACCTGTCGTTTCTTCAGCTGGGAAGAAAAACAGCTACATTTTTGTAGCCTCAAAGGCAGCTTCATTTAAAGGCCTTTAGCTTCTTTGAAGAATGCTACATCTTTGGTTGTGGTGGCCATCTTGAATTAGATTGACAAAAACGTAATCAGTTATAGACATACATCCAATAATTACTTAAAGTTTTATGAAAATCCTCCAGTGAATTAAGTATTTTGGTAGTTTTTTTTTTCCTTTTTTCAGCTGCTTCCAAGGCAAGGGCCTTTCTGGCAACTTGAACCTGCAACCACAGGAAGTCCAAGGTAAGCAGACACAGACACATGTGGGCCTGCTTGTCTGAGAACCTCTTTCTCAAACCACTGGCCAGAAGAGGCCCCAGTGGGCCGGAGGTGGCCCGCTGGCCGGCAGTTGGCGATCACTTACAAAGAGGGAGGGCTAGTGGTGTGTAGGGGGTGTCTGCTGGTTTAGTCAGACAGTCCAGACCCCGAAGCGCCTCCGGAACCACTCCTCTCCCGCACGCCGTCTCTCTCTGGGTCCTGCTGGAGTCCAGGCGGCGGCGCGCGCTCATGGACCGCGGGATGCAGCCTCTGGTCTCCGGGACAGCGGGCTCAGAGCTGCCGCAGCGCGCCTGCCCTCCATCCGGACGCAGCAACGCGGACTACTTTTAACAAACGCCCCAGGATTAGGAACCAAGGATCTACTTTTCCACATTTTCCAAATCAAGAGCACAACTCCAGCTGTTCAATGCGCAGCCATGCTCATCGTCCCTCCCCGCAGCGCGAGCGCGCTGCTGTCCGTCTCCTACCCGCAGATCTTCCTCATCCTCACCAGCGGCAGCTACCTGTACGTCTCTAAGCGCGCGCTTTTGTTCGCACCTGCGGGGCAGGTTGTGCCTCGCGCGTAATGAGCCAATTACGCGCAACATTGGATGGCACGCAGAAAAATGATAATAATATGTGCGACATCAAATGTTCTTAAGTTTGACTAGTTTGTAAAAAATGGTTTAATTTGTCCCTAAATGAAGTCAGAGCTGCGGATTTCTGCCGTTTTTATCCACGAGTCATAAAAGCAGCGAAATGAATGAATCCAACATTTCAAATGCGAGTTGGGGCGAGCTGATGAGAGAAGCTGCTCTCATGGATTTACACACCAGAACCACTCTGTCGTGGGAACACGTTGTCAAACAAGAACAGCAGCAGATGGAAAATAGTTGAATTATTCCTTCATGTGTTTTTTAATAGAGTCTTTGTAAAAAGATCGTTCTTATGGCATTAGAAGACAAAGACCTTCAGATTCAGGGGCATTGCTGCGACAGATTGACCTCGGAGACTCAAAGTTGCTGTAGGAGTTGATGTTTCTGCCACCAAACCTCGATTTGATGCCACTTTTGTTACTGTTGGAGCAGCCTTCTTGAATTGGGCTGACTCCAAAAGTGATTGAGTTGTAGATGTAGATTCATTTCTGAAAGTGTTCATGAGATGTTTTGCTAATCAACACGCAAAAGAGCACATTGGCAAAAACATGATCGCCCTGCCTTCAGCAGAGGGTGATAAAGACCACATTAACCGACTCACTTTGATTCCTATGTGACTGATTTGAGACAATGTCACCTGTGTGATCATCATGATCTGTGTGTGTCTACAGGGCACTGTCCTCGGTGGTGGCTCTGGGCACCAACATCATCTGCAACAAGATACCAGGATTGGCGCCCCGTCAGAGGGCCCTTTGTCAGAGTCGCCCCGATGCCATCATCGCCATCGGCGAAGGTGCCCAGCTGGGTCTCAACGAGTGCCAGCACCAGTTCCGGTACGGCCGGTGGAACTGCTCGGCTCTGGGAGAGAAGACGGTCTTCGGACAAGAGCTGAGAGTAGGTCAGTCTGTCTGAAGTGTGCTTTTTAATTTCTTCTTCTTCGTATGTTTAGACCACAGGTTGAGGGTTATTTTGACTTTAGTAATGGGATGGAGCACCTCGCACTGAGTTGAAATACGGGCATGTTTAGATCATACACAACATCACATCATCTGCATAAGTACACACACAAAAAATGTTGGTCGCATGGCAACATGATTTATTGTGGATTGTTGGAGCTGAGGTGGAGGAGTAGCTTCTATTTTTCAGTCAGGATTATTGATTAATGCTAAAACAGTTATTAGTTATGATTCTTTTGAATCACTGTGCCTCAGTTTTTCTCATCCAAAATGGAAAAAGAAAAGCCACTTTAATCAGCAGTTATCGTCCACCAGGTGCTTACTCTCAGGTTTTGTCTGAATTCTTAACTGACTTACTACTAAATACTGATAAAGTCATAATAATGGGTGATTTCAATATTCATGTAGATGTTGAAAGTGATAGCTTAAGCATAGCCTTTAATAATTTAATAGTCATTTTGTTTTACCCAGAACGTCCGCACATCTGTTCATTCTCATCATCACACTCTTGACCTGGTTCTGACCTGTGCATAGAGATTAAGGACTTGGTAATAGTTCCTCAAAACCCTGTTCTGTCCGACCACTTTTTAATAACCTTGGAGTTTACGTTAACACAGTCACTGAGAGTAAATTTCACCTTAGCAGGTGCTTATCAGAAAACGCTGTAACTGTCGCAATGAACAAGAAATCAATTAATCGCATGATAAATGAAACTTATCTACCTCATTTTCATTAATCGGCTTTATTGTTTCTTTGTGTCCCTCTGGATGATAAAAGGCTCAACAACCGTGCTCTTCACTGACCCCTCCCTTTCTCTTTAAAATCCATTTTAACTAAGAAAATCACATTTTTGGATAATTAAAAGCCGCTACGGCGAGAAGCTAAGCTACGAGCTAAGCTAATAGGCCGACCTCGGGAAAAAACCTCTGTCTCGTCGACGCTCCAAAATTCATGGTTGAAACCCGTGCCTTCGTGTAAAAAAAGTTTTTCTCTGCAAAAAGAAACTGATAACTTGTTTACTGATTTTTTTTATATTTTAAAAGCTTTGTGTGAAAAATGCTAAAGAGCTAAACCACACCGAACATCCACCATTTTGAGAACTGAAGAGAGACAGCCCATGTCACGTCAAGGGGCCTCCCTCCCATTTTTCTTAAAAGAGATGCTGCTCCTCCCTCACTATCCATCCTTCAGTTCAAACAGTCTTATACTGACATCCAGTGGTCAAAAAAGGTACCACACCCAAAACAAATTAACATTTATTTTAAAATTTGACAATATTTACTAATTATTGTCAAATTTCAAACAATTTTATCATTTATCTCAATAATTTATGAGACACTTAATCGTCCAGAAAAATTTGTTATCGTGACAGGCCAAGCTGTAACCAAATTTAAACAATCTCTTCCATCAATGTTTTCCTCTGTCTTGCTGAGTAATTAAATTGAATTGAATCAATATTTGTGAATTTTATGTTGGACGTTTCGATTAAGGTTTTAATATTTTAATTAAGCTCTCACAGTAATCATTAATCATTAGTGGGGGAGTGGTGGCGCAGAGGTTAGAGAGGTGGGCTTGTGATCCGAAGATCGCCGGTTCACGCCCCGGCCCCGACAACATCAAAATTGTGGGTGGGGTAGGTGAAACACCCACACTTGCCCCCACCCTCATTCGCCCCACTCTGGGCCCATGAGCAAGGCCCTTAACCCCCACCATGTGCTCCCTAAACAGGTCTCTCTTGAAAATGAGTTCTCGTGGCTCAATGAGACTAACCTGGATAAATAAAGGCTAAATGAAAAAAAAAAAAAAAAAAAAAAAATTAAAAGTACCTCAACAACTGATTAACCTTTGGAGTCAACCCAGTTCAAGATGGCCACCATAGCCAACTGACCTTAGCAATCACAAAAGGCTAGAAATGGTATCCCGACACATTGCTCGAAGGGTTGCTTCTGGATTTATTTTGCCCACATGTGATTCAGTGGTTCCCAAACCTGAAGTCAGAACCTCACTGTTGGTCGTGAAACATCAACTGGCGCGGTTTTGTGTTACAAAGAGATAAAAAATCAGTGATCATAAATAGAAGAAAATATTATAAAAGTTCATGAAGCTCTTCTTTCAACGGCTTCTTACTGATATGTGTCCTTACCAATGTTTGGGAACTAATCAAAGATGAGTAAAGACAGAGGGTTGAGGAAGAGAGTTGCTCCAATAATGTGCGCCTGTTTATTATATTTAAATTGGAAAAAGATGAAAAGTCAGACCAGAAGCCCACCTGTTGCGTCCCAACAGGTGGGCTATCTAAACCCACAGGATGACGTGGAGAACATTAAGTGCGCCGCGGTGTGTCGTCTTTGTCTCTCGTTTAGCTGCCATCTGGACTAAGTTCCAGAGGCAGAAGGGAAACGATTTGATCTCAAAGCCCTCCTCGTGCGTCGACCACAAAGAAAGAACGAACTCCAGCTCTCATGGTTTTAATCCTGTCGGCTCACAGATGGAGATTTAATCTGGAGCTGATGTGATGAAGCACGTCTCCACTAAGTGGGAGAAGAAGTCTTTATGAAGCATGGTGTAGAACGGGTCCTGAGCCCATGCAGTGACCAGAACAGAATTAGACCAGTTTTTAATGACGTGGCCCTTGAGGGTCCAAAGATCCCGACCATCAGTGCTGATTGTCAACCTGAACTATAGCTGAACATTATTCTTTAACTGTTCCACTTTTTAGACACCATTTTCTGCAGACTAATGAACCTCTGCCCATCTTTTCTTCTCATAGATTCATATTATGTAAAAAGATTTCTTTACACCACTGACCTGTTGCCAATTAACATATTTAGTCGCTCCAGCTTTTTCTTATTCGGATCACTTTTTTTTTCAGCCTTTTGCTGCCCCAGTTTAAACTTTTTTGAGACATGTTGCCGCCATAAAACTCAAACCGACCCCCTCCACATTTTATTACTTTTAACATTTGACGTGCTTACTCTATACATTTTACATAATGTCCTGACTCCGTCAGACTTGGGTTTGTACATGTACGTTCTCTGAACCAAATTCCTCCCAGTTTTCATTCTCACAGACGCCACTAATGCGAGCCTCTCCTATAAATTGTCTTCCAGTCTGAAATGTTTTGTTGCGGTTCAGCTGTGGGTTTGGATACATGTTTAATCGAGCAGATCTTGGAGCAACGTCTGGATCTCTTTATTCCCTTTGTCGTAGGGAATATGTATTTTCTTTGCTCAGTGACCCAACATGTTTGTCATGGCTGGTTCAAAGACAAGATCAAAGGCGGTATGTGGCCATCTTGAATTGGCTTTGCACCAAAAGTTAATTAATTGCAGAGGTATATCCAATGATTATTTACTAAAATTACGAATTTTACACCACTCCAGTGGTTCCACCGGCTCATGTCATCAACCTGCAGGGTTTGCGGACTCATTAGGCCCTGAAAATAACCAGAGATTTGTGCAAAAACCACTAATTGAAGTCAGCTCCAGCAGCTGGATGGCAACAATGGAACCCTGCATATGCACCGCTGTTCAATCAAAACAAATCGCAGCGAGAAGAGATGGCTGTTTGGCCACTGCCTGCGGCTGATGCCTTGAGCAACGCTCCCAACCACCGCACGATATATCCGAACGGGACGCAGATTTAGCTTGATGAGAGAAGACTTCAGTTTGTTTTGAGTTATGGACCGGGGGAACCGCAGCCCTGATGGGTTCTGCGAATGAGTTTGTCAGGCTGGAAGGGAGCCATTACAATCGCCTCAAACAGAGACGCCATGTATTAATACTCTGGCTTGTCGAGCAGAACACAGGCCCGGCATTATCCGACTTGAAGCGAGAGGATATCCAGTTCCCAATTGTAGCGCCAATAATTTTATCCCCCCGACTCCACCCTATAAATATAAACGTCTTTATGACGAAGTTCAAATGGGAGCTCAGAGCAGCTTGGGCACATTTCAGTCAAGCCCGGCAGATTATTCCGACACGCACGACAGCAGTATCATTCGCTGGAATGATGCAGACGCGTACGACACATAAGCTGCGTGAGAAACTCCATTGATGAAAAACATTCGGAGACACAGACGCAACCAGAGCCAAAAGTAAAGGGCTCTTGTAGTCAACCAGTAGATGTCACTTGTGTTTCCTTCTGTGTTCTCATTATTGCTTTGACAGCAACAGCGTGTGGAACGAAACATACTGAGATACAACTTTTTTTATTTTAATGTTCGACACAAAGTCCTTTCAAACATGTCAAATAATAAAACTAGGGAAATTAAAGAGCTCTTCATTCTTTAACTGTAAAAAGTTGGACATTATTAAAGCAAGAACCAAATAAAAAGCCTGGCATTCCACGAAGAAACGCCTCCTGCTGCCATTCATGCCAGAGTTATCTATAAGTAATGATGGAGTTGTAGACATTTTGGTCAAACAGTGAAAATAACTTTATGCAAAATCCCATGCCTGGACTATGTGTTGTGAACGCCTCTCAGCTTCAACCACACTTTATTTTAGCCCAATGTTTTTTTAAAAATGAGCTAATCGTAGCCGTTTTGGGGTTTTCTAAGGTCAGCTGGCAGTGGGGACCATCTTGAATTAGGTTGACTCCAAGTGTTAGTCAGTTATAGATGTGCATCCAGTGAAAAAGTTTCATTACAATTGGTCCAGAAACATGGATCTGACAAACCAAAAGAGAAAAGTCATTAAAGCAAATGAAGATAAATAACAAGGAATGATATGAAACATAATTGATAAACAAAAAGGAGAAATTAATTTAACTTAACTCTGGAAAACCGTTACAAACTAAACCAAGTCAAATTTGTTCAAGCTGCCTAGTTATGGAAAAAATCCATCCATCTTTTATCCATCCATCATCTGGTTCTGGACTCGGGTCTCGGGGCAGCAGCTTGAGCAGGGAGGTCCAGACATCTCTTTCCACAGCCACCTTTTCTGGGAGGACTCCAAGGCGTTCCCAGGCTAGTCCCTCCAGCGTGTCCTGGATCTTCCTCGGGGTCTCCTCCCAGTTCGACATGCCCCAGGGTGCATCCTTACCAGATGCCTGAACCACCTCAACTGGCTCCTCTAGATGTGGAGGTGCAGCAGTTCTACTCCGAGTCCCTCCTGGATAACTTCATCCTACCTCTAAGGGAGATCCAGCTACTGTGTGGAGGAAATTCATTTCAACCGCCTGTATCCACAGTCTTGTTCTTTCAGTCACTACCTAGAGTTTGTGGTCATAGGTGAGAGTAGGAACATAGACTGACTGGTAAACAGAGAGCTTTGCCTTACAGCTCATCTCCCACCTCACCACAACGGACCGGCACAAAGTCCGCAATACTGCAGACGCTCCATCTGTCAATCTCATGGTCCATTCTTCCCTCACTTGTGAACAAAACCAAGATATTTGAACTCCTCCTTCTGGAAAAACAAAACATTTATTTGTCCTTTTTGATTTACAGAAGATCGTGTTGAGTTCAGTTATATTGCACGTCTAATTTCTGAGCAGAACCCACAGAGAAAGAGTGAACAGGCAGGACGGACTGATGGGTTGGAACGAGTCGTGATAAAGGCCGTACTAACAGAGCTCGGAGAGAAGCTGTTCACATGACGCTTGTTGTATTTTGACTGAGGCGTGCCACAGATGTTTGCCTATAACCTCAAGAAATAACGCCAAAGCAAACCTGAATTCTTCGAATTCTTTCTGTGCAGCACAGTCACAACCCCAATTCAGAAAATGTTGGAAAATTGTGTAAAATGGAAAAATAGAATAATATGAAATCTCATAAACCCATGTTTTATTCATACCACAGGGATAATGTAAAATGTTTGAGCAAAAAAATATATAATTTTGGGGAAAAACAAGGTAATTTGGTGTTGTCTTGCTGAAATATGCAAAGCTTTCTCCGAAAAAGATGTCATCTGTTGTCCTGCGTTGCAATGATGGTCTTTCCAGATGTGAAAGCTGCCCATGCCATAGACACTAATGCACCCCCATACTATAAGAGAGGCAGACTTTTGAACCATGTGAACAGGTTGGATAGTCCCTATTCTCTTTAATAGTCTCTTTTTGTGTCCAGTCCTCTTACTGACTTGTTGCCAATTTACCTACCGTACTGTCCGCTGTACACGTCGCGTTGCCGTAGAAGTCACATCAGTCCAAAAATGTCTAATAAAGTGGAAAAAAACATAAATAAGTTGTTCGCTGTATAAGTCGCATATATTATGCATCACCTCTGATGCATCGCGTTTGATATGCATCACCGCTGATCACCCGGTAATGTGGGCCGGTGTTGTGCCAAAAAACAATTGGCTGCCAAATGGTGGCCGCGGGAGCGTGCACGGGAGGACTTTAACAAGAATTTAACAAGATTAACACTTAAACACAATTATTTGTTTGCTCAAAATTATAACAAAGGTGTGATTCAGTTTAACTTTTCCTTAATAAATGCAATTTACTGGTCAAATCAGCTGAATTTCGCCTGGGCGGCAAAATTCAGCTGATTTGACGTTTGCTCCAGGAGTTCCGGAGCGAGACGAAGGCGGCTTAGTATGGCAAGTCAAGTGTCATTAAAATCCACTTTTACATATTAATGAGACACTTGGCTTGCCATATGACTCAAGGGCCCTCTAGTGGCTGAAAATGGTAGTGTTCAATATTTTCCATGTTAGAATGAATGAAATCGTCAGATCGCAGCCAAAAATTGGGTTACAAATATGGGACGGAAAAACATATATGTGCTATACGTGCTGCTGTTCGGCATATTGTTTTTGTACTATTAATGCTTAGCATATTTTTTTAGTTTTTTTCTTAGTTAATATCTTAGATCTTATTACTGTTTTTCTTTACAATTTATACTTTTGTTGGATGTAACTGGGACCTTGTGTACATAATTTTGTTCCACCACATGTACCACATGTGGTGAGTATGACAAATAAAGGAACTTTGACTTTTGACTTTGTATATTAGTCGCTTTGGTGTCTAAGTCGCAGGACTTGCAAATTTATGCAAAAAGATGCGATTTATATAGCAGAACATACGGCACTTAGTTGCATACTTTTACGACCTTTTGTACCCTGTCCCAACTTTTACAAGATATGTTTCTGCCATCAAAATCAAAACGATGCTGCTTTGAGACAAATAGTACATATTTTGAAGCGTTTAATGTGTTTTTGTATGTTCCATGGTGAATAACATATGGGTTTATGGAATTTCATATCAATGCACTCTGCTTTTATTTACATTTTACACAACGTTATAACTTTTAGGAATGGGGGTTGTAAAACAGATGTAAGCCAAAACAGAAATCTAGTTAAAATTGATTCAGATTATTCTTTTCTTTCCTTCAGGCAGCAGGGAGGCGGCGTTCACGTATGCCATCACCGCAGCCGGAGTTGCCCATGCGGTGACCGCAGCTTGCAGCCGAGGCAACCTTAGCCAGTGCGGCTGCGACCGCGAGAAGCAGGGCTACCACGACCGGGAGGAGGGCTGGAAATGGGGGGGCTGCTCGGCCGACGTCAAGTACGGCGTGGAGTTTTCTCGCCGCTTTGTAGACGCTCGTGAGATAAAAAAAAACGCCCGCCGCCTGATGAACCTACATAACAACGAGGCGGGTCGAAAGGTAACTAATCCCACTCGTTACGAAGAAAACAAAATGAAAAAAGAAACAGAAAACCAACATTAGAATGGATAATAAAGTGAAAAAGACGAGAACCGCTTAAAAAACGAGTGAGGAGGGGAAAGACCAGCGTGAATGATTCGACTAATGATGTGGACGAACAAGTCGCCGTGTGGTATTTCAGCCTCAACTTTATGAGAATTCTTCATCAAAGGAGGTGTTTTCTTTTCTTTGAAATCAATCACCTGTCTATTTTGACATTTGAAAATATTTATGGGACATTACAATGTAAATCTGGCTCAAACCACCATGTAATACTATACGAGTAGGGTTACACAACAGCTCTGGTCAGTTTGTGTCACGCCATTCTGTGGTCTGTAAAAGGTAGTTAATTAGAGGCTACGGTTTGCGGAGTACGAGTTATTTTTCCACAGATTTTTGACATAAAGTTGGCTTATTGGATGATTTGCAGCAACTTGAAGTATCTGCAAAAATGTCAGCTCACACAACGAGAGGGATGTAACATTTTACAAGGATTTTACGTGTATCCGGCAGAGGATTTACAGCTTCTTTTGGTTGTTACTCTTTTCTGAGCAGATCCTGGAGGAGAGAATGAAGCTGGAGTGCAAGTGTCACGGCGTCTCCGGCTCCTGCACCGCTAGGACCTGCTGGATCACCCTGCCGAAGTTCAGGGAGATCGGACACATGCTGAAGGAGCGCTACAGCGAAGCAGTTCAAGTGGAGCCGGTCCGGGCCTCGCGCCTCAGACAGCCTTCCTTCCTGCGTCTTAAAGAGGCTCGGGACTACCAGAAGCCCACGGACACGGACCTCGTGTACCTGGAGCGCTCTCCCAATTACTGCGAGGAGGACACGGCCACGGGGAGCACAGGGACAAGAGGCAGAATGTGCAACGGCACGTCGACCCACACGGACGGCTGCAACGTGATGTGCTGCGGCCGGGGTCACAACACGCACCACTACACACGGGTGTGGCAGTGCAACTGCAAGTTCCAGTGGTGCTGCTCCGTCAAGTGCAACACCTGCAGTGAGAAATCCCAGGTTTTCACCTGCAAGTAGGTTCAAGCAACGGAGGAATCCAAAGCGGAGTAATTTATTACGTTTTGCACATTCTGACATCCTATTTGGTGCCGTTTAGCAAATGGAAAATGACCAGAGTGACACAAACGCATGGGGAACATTTAAGGTACTGCTTCCAGGTTCAAAGGACATAGCATCCCATAAGCATTGCTTAATGGTGACATATTGCAAAGTTGAATATGTTCAAAGCAAAACAAGAAGAAGAAATGTAAGTACATGTGGACTGGCCTGAAACGGATCCAGCTCTTCATGAGGCCCGGACGATGGCAGCAGCAGCTCTCCTACACTGTATTCTGTTTAAACACTGAATGAAACGTATTTATGTGAAACTGCTTGAAACCTTTAGCCTTCCTCTTTTCTCATTTCATCACAACCACAAACTTCAAAGTACTTTACTGGGATTTTGTATGATAGACCAACAAGGATTCCCACATAATTGTGAAGTGGAAGGAGTGTAGTGTGCATAAATATTCATCCCCTTTACGCTGATGCCCCGTGCTAAAATCCAGTGCAACCGGTTACCTAATCAGTAAGTAGGTCCACCTGTGTGCAATTTAATCTCGGCATAAATCCAGCTGTTCTGTGAAGACCTCAGAGGTTTGTTACAAAACGGTATCATGAAGACCAAGGAACACGCCGGGCAAGTTAGGAATAAAGTTGATACGTTCAACAGCTGAGTGGGATTATAAAATAATGTCCCGAGCTTTGAGCATCTCCCTGAGCTCTGTTCAGTTCATCATCTGACAACAAAACAAGCGATACGCCGATGTCCCCCGTCGCTGAGGGATTTGAGTAGTGACTGTCTGTAGTTTTTCAGATTGTGAGTACTGTACAGAAACTGAACAGGGAATTGAAGTAAACTTTTAATGCTTTTGATCAAGATAGTCTAGTGGGCAGGAGTTACATTGTGTTTAAGAAGAAGTAAGTTTTTTATGCTTGGTGCGGAGTGACGGATCCTGGCGAGCGGAGGGGATAATTTTATCCACCATCTGGAGCAATGGCGGAGCCAGGGGGTGGCCAATGGTGGTCATGACCACCATAATTAATTTTCAGCCACCTCAGTTTTCAATGGGGATCTTCTACTAAGATGCAGCTACACAGCAAAACGGAAGTCGGCATGTTGCGTATGTTTTAAGTTATCCAGCTCACATTTACGCAAATCTCTATATGGTGGCAGCCATCTTGGATTTTGATGTGGCAACTCAATTTTTGATGGTGACCTTTCTTAAGCCAAGATGGCACAGACAGACGGACAGAGGGTATTTCCAATTCCTAATCTTCATTCAGCAACGGGAGACAACGTTTATGGTACAACTGATACCAAGATGTAGCAGTCTACCTAAACTGACAGGAAGGGGATCCATCCGAAAAGCAGCCAAGAAGCCCCGTGGTAACTCTGGAGCAGCTGTGGAGATCCAAATCTCAGGAGGGCAAATCTGCCCACAGAACCACCACCAGTCGTGTACAAACTGGGCTTTAAAGAAGAAAACTAATGTTAACTGAAAGTCACGATGAGTCCAGTTAGAAGTTTGCCACGAAACTCAAAATTTAAAAAAATGCCCAAAATTTAACTTTTTGGCTTAAATGTGTGTGCGTGAAACCAGCAGGAAACCCTGAACACACCATCCCTACAAAGCGTGGTGGCATCGTGGGGCGGCCTTTGTTCAGCAGGGACAAGGAAGCCTCTCGGAGTTAAATATGTACGGGTCAATCCTGGACAGAAACCTGTTGGAGGCTGAAAAAGACTCCAGTGGCACGAAGGCTCTCCTTCCAGCTGGACGACCTGAAACATCCAGCCAGAGATACTATGGAACGGGTCAGACCAAGTCCAGTCCAAGTCCAGAACTAAATCCAACTGATAATCTGTGGCAAGACCTAAAATATGACCTCCGTCCAATCTGAGCAAACGTTTTAGCCTCCAGATGTGCGCAGCTTGTAAAGACAAACCACAAAAGACTTGGTGGTTCAAAGTATCGACAGGACACACTTTTCAGATTAGTATTTGTAAAATATTATGTAAACCACCCTTCTGCTTCAGTTATATGCTACTCTGAATTGGTCTATCGGACAAAAACAGTAAAAAAAACCTCTGGAGTTCGTGGTTGTGAGGTGACAACATGTGGAAAAGCTCAAGACGCATGAACGCAAGGAACTGTAGTTAAAAGATTTTCCTTTTTTAAAATCAACTCTCATTTAAAATGGGCCGTAACCATCGACTCGTTTGAAGCCGCGTTCACCGAGATCGTCACATTTTACAGTAGATTCTTTTCCTACGTCACATTTTCTGACATTTATTATTTACAGAGCGTGAGCTTCTTTGGAAAAACCCAACGTAAAGCGAGCAGCATCTTGAAAGCGTTTGTTGTTTTGTTGTTGGGCCTGTTTGGAACCCAACAGCAGCGCAATCAGGTTCGGATGCATCCAGCATTCCCACGGCAGCCTCTGCTTACACGAAGCCTTCCAGCGTGGTTTAGGCCTCGCTCGGACCGATGGCGTGTGTCCCGACCACAGAGGGGGGGGGTCCGAGACCATCAAAGGCCTCCTACTCCTGGACAGAATCCTTAATGAATCCAGAACTGTTTATTTAGACTTTATATAACTTACAGAACCATCTGAAGAGTATATTTTTATATGAGGAACGTGGCACTTTAACTCATTTACAAATGAAAGAGTCACTATTTAGAAGTGGGTTTTTTTTTTTTTATGTCATTGTATTCATATTTGAAGGCTGCAACTTATTTGGAATTTATGTTTTTGATCAAAGTACTTCAAATACTCTGCTTTATTATAAACAGCCCAGACTGTCTACTTTAATACAGTCCGTTAGGTTTCACAGTGAAGTTACACCCATTAGAGTTTAAGAGACGATTGTGGAAACCGATGTTTGGAATAAAACTACGTGTAGAGAGGAAACATCGGCAGCTTTGGATTGAGCTCATTTTTGTTTCCAGTTCTCCTAATGTTTTTTTTTTTGTAAACTAGGATTAACAGTGTTTCCCAATAATACTTCCAACACAGCTTTAAAGTCACTTTTGTATTATTTTTGTGTCTGAACTGAGCACACAGTCATAACTAGACAATATGCATTTCCTGAGAAAATGCAGCGTGAATGCTTATTGCTGAAGAACTTGCAGAAAAACAGCTGAAGTTAGCTTAAAAACATTCAGAAATGTAGATGAAATGGAAGAACAAGCCTAAATTAGCAGAAGAAAGCAGAAAGAACACATTTACTGAATTGGGTTTGAATAAGCAGAAATGAGCGCAAAAATTAGTAAACTAGCTAAAAAAAAAAGCTGAAAAGTAGCCGAAAAGGCAGAAAGAAGCTTAAACTACCAGAAGTGGAAAGAACTGAAATGAGCTAAAGAAATGTGTAATTAGCTGAAAGAGCTAAAATTAGCATCAAAAGAGTTAAATAGTAGTTGAAAGAGCAGAAAAAGCTGAAACTAGCAGATAAAAACTGAAAGGAGCTTACACAAGCTGAAATTAGCATAAAGAAGTTAGACTGAAAATAGCAGGAATTACTACAAAACACTTGAATTTATCTGAAAACAGCCAAAATTAGCTAAAAGTGCTTAAAAAGTAGCTGAAAATGTAGAACAAGCTTAAATTAGCAGAAGGCAGAAAGAACATGTTTGCCCAATTATGAAAAAAGCAGAAATGAGCAAAAAGAAGTGAAAATTATCTGGGGGGGAAAAAAAAGCTGAAATTAGCAAAAAGACAGCTGAAAAGTAGCTAAAAAGAAGAAAGAAGCTTAAATTACCAGAAGGAAGTTGAGAGAGCACATTTTTGCTGAAAGGCTAAAAAAAAAGTTGAAATGAGTGCAAAAATGTAGAATTAACTGAAAAAGCTAAAATTAGCATAAAAACAGCTAAATAGTTGGTGAAATAGAAGAAAAGGCTGAAACTTGCATAAATAAGCTGAAAGGAGCAGAAAGAAGAAGCAGCAGCACAAAAATGTTGCAGTTAGCAGAAAGAAGCTGAAAGGAGCACAAAACAGCTGAAATTAGCTGAAAGTAGCAGAAAAAAAGTTAAAATTTGCACAAAGAAGCTGAAGCAGAACAAAATGTGAACGGAGCAGTAAAACGTAAACAGATCTAAAGATTTGAAGGATGTAAAATGAGCTCAATTCATTTTCTGTGAGAAAAAAGTGTCAGAAAAGGCTAAATATTTCAAAAAGCTAAAGTTGCACAAATACTAAAAGTCATAGCACCCTTCTCCTGAATAAGCTGAACGTTTTGATTTATGACAAAGTCCATGCTCAATAATCCAGGTACACAATCCAACATTTTTCAGTCAGGTCATCTGGACAGTTTCTTTTTTTTGTGCTGAAACGTTTCGCCTTCGATCCAGAAGGCTTCATCAGTCAAGGAAACACAACAAAACTGATTCTTCCTCCAACAGCTTACTCCAAAGTGGAACAAACCAGTTCTGCTTGTGATAAGATGGTCTCTTTGGTACGCCCCCTCCTCCATTGCCGGCCCTCTTCCTTGTTGACAGTCGTGTCAAACTGGTTGAAAACAACAAAGTCCATGCTCAATAATCCAGGTATACAATTCCTGAATGAAAAATGTTGGATAAATGTTCACACAACTAACTTAACTTGGCAGTCAGGGAGTGACTGACAAGTGTGTGGTTACCATGGTGACCACAACAAGCAACTTGGCAACCGTTTCAATATCTCTTATAATCTTAGTCCCCTTTATACATCAAAGCACGGACACTTATTTTTACTTTAAATCGTTATAAAACTGACGCAGGAGCTTCGGTTCAAAATTTCTTTTTAAGACGTTATCCCTTTTAAATGTGAAAGGCATAGGTGTGGAGCGAGGTTGGTTTTTATTCTGAGGCTGGTATCAAACCAGAACAAAGAGTGTGGTGTAAAAAAAAAAAAAAAAACGCTGATATGGGAAGTGAGATTTTCCCGCCCAGTCTGAGGTGTTGGGAGCTGCAGCCACTTTCCTGTGGGGCTGAAAAGCATTGCAGCCAGCCAGCCGAGCGAGAGTAACGGTCGTTTTGTTAGCCGTCCAAAATACCGGGGGACCGGAACCACATAAGCTCCCTTTCACTACGCCGCTGGACTGACAGGAGAAAGTCCCGACGGATTGTTTCGATACATTTTGTCATTAAAAATGGGAGGCAGAGCAAACAGGGTGGAGCAGGGTGGGCCCGCAAAGCACCGCTTTGTTGAGATGTCAGAACCGTTCAGCTCATCCTGCAAACTCATGGTCCTCATCCGACTCGCCTACTCATTTACTTTACACGTCAAGTCTCTAGGATTGACTAAGTCACGTTAATTCAATTCAAAAATACTTTATTAATCCCAGAGGGAAATTATATAAAAACACATTTCTGAAAGGAAAGAGCTTTGTCGGTGTCGAGTCCTCAAATCTCACCCGTTTTAAAATCCTTCAAGGACAAGAATTCATAAAATCTTATCAAGCTAATCGTAACATTATTGAGTGCAAAAGCAAGAAAGTTATGTAACAAGTCCTATTTATTTATTCAAAGCGTGCATAAAGTCAGGAAGCTCTAGATCAGGGGTCTGCAAGCTGCGGCTCCGGAGCCACATGGGGCTCTTTGGTCCCTCTGCAGCGGCTCTTTCAGGCTTTGACCAAAACTAAAATAAAACTGAATTCAACAATGAAAATAGTTTTAGCAGATGTCCTGTCATTTTCAAATATGTGAAGGATGGTACAAATACAAGGCGTAAAACACGTAAACTACATCATGCTAGTAGTTTGTTAGCCACGACTTCCAGTCTCAGCGTGATGGTTCTCTCAAAACCACCAGGACGTTTTGGAATATCTTTAAGACACGCTGCCGAGAAGGAATACGGTGAGTAACTTTGATAACGCTAAGAATAAAACGCAAAAAAACAAAGTCAAAGTAAATGAAAGTATTTATTTTTCTTTAAAAATGTAACTGGATATTCAACAAACTGTTCTAATTATGCTTTAAGCAGGAAACTTAATTCTTCAACAGTTAAGAGGACTCGCATGCAGCGTTCAGTGTTGTTAAAAAATATACATTTGATCTTTCTTTACAGGAATCTGGTCTTTTCTTTTGTATTAAAAACGTAAAAATATCAATAAATGTTAATACTAGACATTTTTTTTTGTTTTATAATATCACCCCCGCTGGCTGGAAAAGCCATCTCCAACAAACTTGAAGTGGTCCATGGGCCACCAGTTGACAGTAGTTGTAGCAGGTTTTGCAGCTCTGGACATCGTAAGTGGCAAAAATGGCTCATTTTATCCCAAAGGCTGCAGATTCCTGCTCTAGACGAGTACAAACGACTGGAGATCAACAGAAACAGAAGCACTACGTTCTTGTTTTTTAACCCCTCTTTCATAAAAAGTGTTTAATATCATGTATAATGATATGGTATAATGTTTTATTAGCTTTAAATTATACAACCCCAACTCCAAAAAAAAAGCACAGTTGTGTAAAATGCTACTCAAAACGGAACGCGACGATCTGAAAACGTCATAAATAAATATTTTATTCACCATTAGGGACAGGGTGAGGCATCTCCTCTCCTTTAAAAAAAACAAAAGAATCTGCAAACGTCGAGGATCTGAGGAGACCAGCTGGAGGAGATTTTAGAGGGGGATGCTGTCTCAGTCTGTGATGGAGGCTTCCAACTGGATCTTCTCTGCTGTATTTAGTGTTTGCAGTTGCACCAGATGTGTTGGACTGGTGAGCGGCGTGGACTGCAGGTCAGTTCAGCACCTGGACTCTGCTACACGAAGCCAGGCTGCTGTATTGGATCCAGCGTGCCGTTTAGCATCGTCTTGCTGAAATATGCGAGGCTGATTGAGAGCATCGGTTGTTATAAATACTGTATACTTTCTGCAACGATTGAGTCGTTCCAGATGTGCATGCAGCCCATGCCAGAGGCACTAATGCACCCGCATACCATCAGAGAGGCAGGCTTAAGAGCTATGCACTGAGAAATAAGAAATGGTCACTGTACTTTTTAGTATTGGAGATACGGCGTCGGTGGTTTACAAAACGAGTTCAAGTTTTTTCAAGTTTCAACATTTGTTTACTATGTTCTGTTATTTATATTATACACGACGACTAGGGATGCACGATATTATCGGCGCGGTATCAGTCAATACTAGCGATAAAGTTGGACATCGGCTAGTCCATCAAAATAACCCACCGATATAAAATAATTCTGTTTGTTCATTTTTAATTTAAGAAACTGTCCAATATCTATTAATGCACTACTGTGAACAGGTTGAGTTTAGATTTGTGAAAATTTACAAACTGTTCCGATTGTTGTGGTGTTAGAGAGTAAACATCATGAATAAATTTGACATTAAACACAGTCCAAGTTGAAGTGTTGCATCATTTTCATCCCCCTTTTTGACATCTGCAATTGGTAGCAAATTATGTTTTTAATTCCACATCAGAGAAAGCTATGTATTCTCTGTAAGTAGGTCTAGGGGGGAAAATATCGGTATCGGGTATCGTTCAAATAAGTTTTAACATATTGGAATATCGGATATCGGCCAAAAATCTAATATTGTGCATCCCTAACAACAACCTAAGTTTATTGGAACTGCGGTTGCTGTATTAAATAATAATAGGCATGTTCATATAAACAGGTTTTTATGACGCCATTGCTTAATAAGGAAAAGCCAGAGGGGGTAGATGACATCATGTTTTAGTGTCATGGTTACTGCAAAAGCCACGACAAGCCTGAGACTAAACTCCACCTCCTGCTGGCAACATCCCCGTCTCTGAAAGGCAAACAGACCCGGACACCGCGGTGCTCTTTGTCTCTGAATTAAACCCCAAGGCTTCGGCCTCTTTAAAACATGCCAGCATGTGCTCGCCGCTCACAAACGCCTCATTTCCCAGACTCTGATCGAGACAAAGCAGGCGCGGCAGATATCCTGACCTTTGCATTATACCAGGAAGACCTCATGGGTCGTTGAATATTAACTCGAGTGCTAGCATTGCTGAGGCAGGAAAGCAATTAGAAATACTTTTCTGATTCAAATATTCCAAGCTAAGGTATTTATAATTGACTTAATCTGCAGCGTGGGAGAACTTTAACTACCGGTACTTGGCAAAAGAGAACCAGTAGCTTGAGGGTTAAGAACCTTCTTTAGTTTCGGTCTTTAGGTGTCTTTCCTCACAGGTTTGAGCAGCAGGCTTCCGTCGCGCTCCTCTACCAGGAAACCCAACTCCCTGAGTGCAGAGTAGTCCGCCGGGCCGCGCCGCTCCAGGCCGGCGACCAGCTCCTGGTTCTGCAGGTTGTTTTCCAGGAGGTTCCTGACGGCGAAGATGGCCCACTGGCTGATAACTTGAAGCAGTCGGTTAAAGAGAACATGAGCATTCTTGTTTCTCTCTTTAGCTTCTCCTTTAATTTTGTGCCATTAAAATAAATAAAAATAACTAGAGAAATGCAGTGTGAAAGCTCATTGCTGAAGAACTTGCTGAAAAACAGCTGAAATTAGCTTAAAAAAGCATGCTGAAATGAAGCTGAAATGGAAGAACAAGCCTAAATTAGCAGAAGAAAGCAGAGAGAACACATATTTGCTGAATTAAGTTTAAAAAGGTAGAAATGAGCACAAAAATTAGTAAATTAGCAACAAAACAAAAAGCTGAAAAGTAGCTGAAAAGACAGAAAAATGCTTAAATTACCAGAAGGAAGTGCAGAGAGCACAGTTGTGCCCATTTAGGCTTCAAAAAGCAGAAATGAGCAAAAAAGTGGAAATTATCTGGAAAAAAAAAAGCAGAAACTTAAAAAAAGAAGAAAAGTATCTAAAAAGCAGAAAGAAGTTGAAATTACCAGAAGGAAGTGGAGAGAGCACATCTTTGTTGAATTAGGCTGAAAAAAGTTGAAATGAGCGGAAAAAATAGTGGAATTAGCTGAAAAAACTCAAATTAGCATACAAAGCTAAATAGTATATGAAATAGCAGAAAAGGCTGAAACTTGCAGAACTAAGCTGAAAGAAGCATAACAAGCTGAAATTAGAAGAAGCACAAAAATGTTGTGATTGGCAGAAAGAATCTGAAAGGAGCACAAAACAGCTGAAACAAACATATGAAAGTAGCTAAAAATAATAGCTGAAAGAAGCTGAACCAGAACAAAAAGTGAAAGGAGCAGTGAAAGGTTGTAAACAGGTCTAAAGATTTGAAGGATGTAAAATGAGCTCAATTAATTTTCTATGAGGAAAAAAGTGGCAGCAAAAGCTAAATATTTCAAAAAGCTAAAGTTGCACCAACACCAAAAGTCGTCTATGAAACCACCTGAGATGATTTGCTATGAAGGATACAAGGGTTGCTGCTGTCTATGTTGCAGTTGTCCAAGACGAGCGGGATGCCTTCGAGCTCTCTCACCTGGAAAAACAAGTTCAGGAAGAAGCACAAAAAAACAACTTATAATTTAAGATTTTTATTAATTTAAAAATATTTCAGCAGATTAAAGAAAAAAAGGATAAATGCCATTTTAAATTGCTCAACAGCAGCTAATTTAAAGTGATATTTAGACATTTTTCAGCTATCTACTGCAGGTAAGATACTGTTTATCCTTTAAGAAAAACCTGAGCTCACAGTTTATGCTGTGCTGTAGTGTGTGTAAAAATATAAATTGGATCATTTTATCCTATTTTAACTATTTAGGCCTCTTTCTCCAAGAAACGTGCAGGAGGAGCAGCTCAACAGCAGCTTAAAATACGTGTTGAGGAGGAGTCTCATCTACTGCCACGCCGAGGTTTAGCTCAACACACGTAAAACTGATTGAGATGCAGATTAGCTGCAGGTAATCAGATGTATGTACAAGACTCACTTTCTGAAAGTTTATTGCCGTTTGAGTTTCATTCAAAGCCATCCAGAGGTTCAAGGTTAAAAGGTGATTGACCCCTGTAGCAGGCGTCGATAATGAATTAGCACGTTTAAAGTATTGGGTTTCCGTTTTGATTGTTGAAACCTGCTGAAACCAGCTGAGAGGTAAAACGGAGCGTCTCAGGACTCCCAGAACGCCCTGCTGTGTCATAAAGCAGTGGAGCTGCAGTGTTGCGGTGCGGCTATGGACTCGGTGGTTCTTAATAGAGACAGATTTGTGGAATGTTTGTGGATCGGCCACCCTCAGCTGGCCCCTCTGTAATATTTATGGATGCTGATCTGTGGTCTGTCAGTGGTCAGAAATCACCCCGTATCTGTTTTCACCAGGAACTCTTCCAGTAAACCAAACGTCGCTCTCTTCACCTCTGGCAGAGATCGTAATTTGAGACGCGCAAGCGGGAAAAAAAAGAAGCGCCGAACCAACAGCTCGTACCGGGCTGAAGCTGGGGTCGGCTCGCTTGTTATTCCTCCCTTTGCGGGTTTGGACGTAATGCGAGCAGGTTTTGTTCTGAACGCAGACCCGGGTGCGACTGTGTTTCTTTGACAGGCTAAATGAGCGTTTTGTTTTTTGAAACTCAGCACTTCGTCTCGATCCGGCGCTCCTACGGGCCGTTTGGAGGGAAACCACGAACAAAGACGAGTTAAGCCTTCAGAACGAGACACGTGATGGAGAGCAGAGCTCACCGAGTGGAGCTTGAAGACCAGCACCGGTGCTCCAGGGTGGACGGGAGGCTTTTCTAAGGACATCCCAATATTATGTCGATTTCTGGGTTTAAGGATGTAACTTGTACAGCTAAACAAGATTTATACTCTCACCCACAGCGGAAGTGAAGCATCAAAGTGTCAGTAGCTGAGAGTCATCCTCGACACATACTTTATTTTATTTAACCTTTACTTAACCAGGCAAATCCCACTGAGCTCACAGATCTCTTTTACAACAGAGTCCTGGGCCTGAAGGCTGCCTAACATGCATGTTTTTTGGACTGTGGGAAGTAAGAACAGTAGTACAAAGGTCTAAACGCTCTAAAAGAACACGGCATGTCATGATCCCCGCTCTCTCTGCCACCTGCAGGCGCTCTCGGCCACGCCCACTTCTCCACTGCAGAGCGGAGCTTCTCCCTGCACACGTGGGCTGCACACAGGTGCAGCAGGTGCTACATCGTTTAAAATAATTTATTTTAAATTTTAAAAAATCCATTCCGATCTTGCGGCTCATGCATCAATCAGCCAGTTGTGTGTCACGTTCCATCCTATTTTGAAAAAACGCGAAAGAGCGAGTCCGCAAAAGTCGAACCACGGAGTAGCGAGGGACTACTGTACACGGAGAAAACGCACAAACACGAGGAGAACATACAAACTCCACATAGAAAGACACAGGGATTGAACCCAGGACCTTCTTGCTGTGAGGCAACAGAGCTAACCACTGAGCCATCGTGCTGCCACTTTGAGGGCTACCAGATAATCTTTATTTAAAACATTGGCATGGAAGGCAACGGGCGAAACTACGTGGAAAGAACATCTAAACTCGACATTTTCAGGAAAACTGATGACAAATTCTACTTAGTATCAAACTTCAATGTTTACGTCGCTTCTCATTCCTGCTCCGATCAGAATAAACACCGACAGCTGCTGAGGACATCGCTGCACCACAAAAACTGTCCACTTAAACACTGTTGGACTTTTGTGTCAGCTCGGTGAACAAAACTCAAGAACTCATCAAGAACTCTTTGGTTCTGATATTTTCTGAGAGCTCAGATTTTATTCTTCGGGGTCTGGGTGGATTAACGCAAAAAAACAAACAAACAAACAAACAAACAAACAAACAAACAAAATATTTAAAGGCTATTTTTTTGGACAGTTGTAAAAATAAAAAATAAAAATAGAAAAAAGAATTGACTAACAGTTTGATAAGAAAAAAAACATCTGTTGAACATCAGCGTGGTTCTGATGATGGTTTAGCTACTGCTCTGCCAATTTGATTTTAAGCCATGGTTTGACTATTGTCACTTATACTGTACATGGTTTTGCTACATTTAGCTATGCTTTTGCTATTTTTTTTAGCTTTTAGCTATAGTTATGCTATTTTTAACTTTTAGTTACGATTTGCTATATTTAGCTTTCAGCAATTGTTTTGCTACGTTTAGCTATAGTTATGCTACATTTAGCTTTTAGTTATTATTTTCAGCTACGCTACGGTTAGCTACAGTTATGCTACATTTAGCTTTTAGTTATTATTTTCAGCTACGCTAAGGTTAGCTACAGTTATGCTACATTTAGCTTTTAGTTACGTTTTGCTATATTTAGCTTTCAGCTATGGTTTTGCTATATTTAGCTATAGTTATGCTACTTTTAACTTTTAGTTATGTTTTGCTACATTTAGCTTTTAGCTATAGTTATGTTACTTTTAACTTTTAGTTATGTTTTGCTACATTTAGCTTTTAGCTATAGTTATGTTACTTTTAACTTTTAGTTA